CATTCCTGCCCTTGAATAGTGTCTTGCTCCATGGCTGATCTATCTGAACAGAATTAGATCGTGCTTGGACTTTGAAACCACTCTGTGCTGGTTTAAAAAAAAAAAAAATTAAATCATCTGTTCTTCCACATCTCTCTGGTTTCCCTGGACAGCATCGAACACAAATTAGCCCCCATTTCTCAACGAGGCCTGCAGATATCATCATCATATCATTAATATTAATCCGTCTTTTGGTATTATGCTGTAACATGCTGTAGCAGCAGACCAAATAAAAATGCTATTGGAGCAGATTCGATTTTCCAAGAAACGAAGATTCAGGCGTATCGTCAGCTCGCTCTTCCTAGTTTCTCATACACAACAGGAGTAAAAGGAGAAATCATTTCATATGCCCACACATCTAACAATAAACTATTTTTATATTTCCTTTTCTTTCTGTATGGATCACGTATCCACAAGGGCTAATATATCACGTCCCTTGAGGTTACATTTCTGTCTGCGGTTCTAAAGTGTTATTTCCACTGTGCTTCAGTTCTACTGGTATAATCACAACCATGTATAATGTATTTAATCCTTACTTTTTAAATAAACCATTTTAAATGTATTCATTTTTGTTGTGGAGAAAGGTATATAGATTTTCAACTTCCCAATACGCCGAGCTGAGATTTCTGTGTTTATTTTTTGACATTTCTACCTATTTTGCTTGCAGCTGGCAATGTTACTGGAAGCCAATATATCAGAGGAAAAAAACCTCTTCTTGTGGTCCCACAGACCACAAAATCTCTAAGATAAGTTATCTTCACAATATTTCCAGTCATTCCAGTTGGAAACTAAGAAAAAGCTTCTAATTTCCAGCTTGAACTTGGCCCATGTGAGACACACTCTGGTTTCAGCGCCCGCTTTGAGGCTGCTGTGGCGGCCAGAGGCACTGCAAACCACCAGCATGACAAATAAGCCGGTGTCTTCTGAAGTGCTACCCCCCAGCCCGTGCTTTGCCTTCACCTTTTGAGGCTTCCTGTGAATTCGCTTCTGAGCACCCTCCTCTCCCAGCTCTTGTCTGTTTTGCCCGCAGAAAGCTCGACCCCATGTGCCGGAGCTCCACGAAGGCCTCGCTCTGATCCCCGCCATGACATCCCGGCAGCACGAGCAGCGCTGAACACGGGGCGGCAGCTCAGCAGCCTCTCGCGGCTCTCGGACGTCCTGAACCATCCCTGTATCAAAGACAATATTTCTTCTTCAAGTACCTCTTTCAACTTTACCTTCCCGGTTCACAGAATCACAGAATCACTAAGGTTGGAAAGGACCTTCAAGATCATCAAGTCCAACCATTAATCCAGTGCCACCATGTCCCCTAAACCATGTCCTGAAGCGCCACATCCACACGTTTTTGTCCCCTAAACCATGTCCTGAAGCGCCACATCCACACGTTTTTTGAACACTTCCAGAGATGGCGACTCCACCCCCTCCCTGGGCAGCCTG